CCACTTGGTTAACATGAAACGACATAATTAACTTACAGAGAATAGAACGTTAATAAGGGCTATTAACAATAGACGAAGTATGTCATTACAGTACTATTACTCACAGTGCTGTGATGGAGCTATAGTCTCTTCCGGTATGTGACCTACACACACAAGTAGTTCAGAGATTAGTCTATTTTTCTTTTAATCAATATCCGATTCGTTTGACTTGCATTTAATTATAAGCATTTTAAAAGCTTTAGATACACATTTTAGCAATTCTAGAGGGTCAAACAAGAGAAAAGAAGCACATAGTCTTTTTCCACGTGGGCCACACGTGTGGCAGTCCCCCTCCGCACGTGCAGGAAGGTGGGCCGCACGTATGGTAATCCTCTCCCGCATGTGCTTTTATTTCAATACCTCAGAGTTGGATTCCCCTATTTTCCGCACGTGCGGCTGTGAGCCCCGCACGTGCAGTCGGAACCCCTGTTTTGCACACTTCGAACCAAGGCAAGTTTTCAACTAGGTAAACACATTTAAGGCACAAAATAGGGGGAAATAATTCCATACTATGGCTCAACATCACAATAATATAAATCATAAGTCCAATTAAGTTGAATCGTACCCTAGCTCCCGAGCCGAGACAACTCCGGTGATGACGGACATGTGGCCTTCGGCACCGAGTCAGGGTTTCCTAAATTCCCCCATTTTAAAATATTTAGGTGGCGACTCTGTATCTGGCAAAGCAGTCCATGTTTGGCACTACTTTTCAAAAAATCTGTTTTCTCAAACGATTTGCCAGATTTGGACTCTTTGGTTCAGATTAAGAACCGTGACACAAATCGAGTCCGAACTGTAGCGCGAGGCCCACGCGGGCGCCGTCTACAGTTATTTTAGGTCGATTAAACCCACCTTGAGCTCAAATCACCACAATCTCTCTTAATTCTCCAATGTCCCCTCTTGTTAAAGCTTCTCCTCTTGTTCTCCCTCTCTAACTCTCTCTCAGGAGATATTTTCATATGATGAGTTTTCTAGGTTAATAGGTTAAAAGAGGTATATAAGAGTCATAAAAGAATTGACAAAAGAAATTTAATCAGTTTAATCATTCCGAATCACATTTTTACAAAAATTCTTATTATGATTTAAAAAACATGCTGATCACAGTTATAAAGTCAATTTCAGGTTATCAAGCTTTTAAGACTTCCAATTACTAATCCAAACATCATAATTATAACAGATATTTCTCATGATTGACAGATATAAATCCATAACCATGTGATTCACACAATTAAACTTAATTTCTCATGAAATTTCATGTTAACCCGATAAATGCACATAATAAGAGACCGAAAGCATACCAGAAAACATATAGGAGAGTCGGGTTATTACACTGTGGGTTTTATCCGTACCCGTACTCACTTACCCGCATCTGTATTCAATTATTTTTATTATTTACATATGGACCATCAGATTTTCTTGTAAGTTTTGTAAGTGTAACATTAATCTTCTCTTCTCTCACTCATTTAATTTGATTATCAAACATGTAAGCTCTAACATTATAACATTATAACATTATAATAATATCACACACTGTCTTGTTTGAAATACTTATTATTTAATTGAAATTTTTTCAATTTTTTGCAAATCTAGTTATGTGATGTTTTTTTTTTCTATGTTAGTTTTTATTTAATTTTCATTCTAATCTTTTGTAATACAGTTTTAATATAGGATATTGTTGAATCTCTTGCAATCAAAAATATTGAAAAAATGAGAAAAAAACAAGTCAAAAAATAATTTTTTAAAGGAAAAAACTGAATCTGCAAATCACCCGTAACCGCCTACACATCCACGAAACCTATCTGTACAAACCGCAACCTGCATTGCGGGTGGTTGTAGGTTCAATTTTCCTCAAATCGTAGACATACGGGTTGATCCAAATCACAAACTGAACTGTCAAAAATCGATCCGCAAGCACCCTTATGCTCTACACCATTTATATTCTATTTGGATTGAGAGGTTTGGTGAATAAAGAAAAGAAATTGAGATGATGAGGATTTTTATCAATTGTTTAGATTAGGGTTGATTGTGGATTGGGTTGAGTCGAGTGGCATTACATTCATTATCCGTTCAAAATTAGGCGGATTGAAAAAAATCAATCTGCATCCGTCCACTGATTTGGCGGATGCGGATTGAGCAAGTCGTGCGGGTTAGTGGATAGAAGCGATCGGTTTGGCGGTTTGGACTTTACAAATTTTTGGCATTTTTTTGAATTATAATTTATAATTTTTACAATCTCCAATAACTAGTAATCTAAAAAAATATGTATTATTTGTTTACAATAGGCTATGGCACCACGCATGCATATTTTAAAGGTATTTTTTTTTATATTTTGACTAAAATATATATTTTATTATTTCTACACTATATTGTTTACTTGTTAGTAAATTTTTTTTTTTTTTTTAAAACTTCATTTACAGTCAGATCAAGTTTATGTGGGTGTGGGATGGTTAATCTGCCATCCGAACCATATCTGCGAATTTTGAAATATTTCATTCATATCCATCTACTGAAAGACACACATTCGTCCAAAATCAATCAGATTTGATCGATTCGATCGAATTGGGCGGGTTAGGCAGATCCATGATCACTTCTAGTTTAGATGGTTAATGAGGTGAATAATGGTAAGAAAGACAAAACACATCAAACTTAAATTTTGTTCCTCACAAAAAAAGATGAAATTTGGTGAGAAATTAAAATTTCTGTTTACAAAAAAATTTATAATACATAAACTACCTCTCCAAAATACAAAATAAATAAAATGAAAGACACATATATTTTCTTTTAGTCATTGGCCTCATTTGGAAAGTTTGTTATTTTAGTAGGTTATTTTAGTTTTTGATTAATTTAATAGGCTAAAATACTTATGTTTGGAAAAGTGGTTGATTTTTTTTTTTTTGTAATTGAACGTGATATTTGTGAAAAAAAAAATGAAATGATTACGAGTTTGATGTGATATTTTATTTTATTAAATATTTTTGCCTTTTTTTTAATGAATTTTAACAAAATAAATAAATAAATAAATAATTTTTAGCTTCCCAAACACTCTCATTGTCCATCCAAATAAGTAGGTGAAAAATCACAATCAATGTGTTTGGTTTTATTTTTCTGAATTTAGTTTTTTAAAAATTAAGTTTTTTTTTCATGTTTTTTATTTTTAGTAAATATTTTTTGAATTTTAAACATTTTTTTAAAACTTTTTTAGATATACCTTACTTAGATATATTTAAATAGTAAAATATTTGTGAAAAAATCTTTTAAAAAATTAATAAATACACAAAAATATAAAAATGTACTGAATTTTTATATTTTTTTAATATTTTTTGATATTTAGTGTATTTTTAAAATATTTTTTCACAAATATTATACTTTTTAACTATATTTATATTAGGTGTGTTTAAAAATTTTAAGAAATTACTTAAAATATTAAAAAATTTTATTGAAAATATTAAAATACAAAAAATAAAAAAATAAAAGCTTTTGAAAATTATTTTCCAAAAATCAAAACCAAACAAGCAGAATAATTTTTCTTTTCTCCTCACTCAAGTGACTCCAATCATTTTGTTTCTTTTATCATCTGTTATTGTGTGAAAGTTGTCTAGTGTTTCCTAAAAACCAACACAAAAGTGATAAAGGCCGTTTGTTTTCGGAGGTAGAATGGAGGGGATTTAAAGTGAAGGGATTATTAGTGAGGGGATTAATAGTGAGCAATTGTTAAATTATTTTTATATAAAATAATAAAATAAATAAAAAAAATATAAAAAATTAAACATTAATATTTTAAAAAAAATTTCCAATATAAAAAAATAAAAAAATTTCTAATCCTCTCACTATTTTTCTAATACCATCTCTACCTCCTCCTTACCAATCTCTTTCTAAGGCCTTTACTAATATTAAGGGATTAGGAGTCTCCTCCCCATCTTTCAAAACAAATACCCCATATAATAGTCCTATCTCATTATCAATCTCAATCCCTTCCTTATAACCCAAAATAAACGGGACCAGAGACCTGCTACTTCTTATTTTAAGTTGGGCAACACACATTTTCTTGAGGAGAGAGAGAGAGAGAGAGAGAGAGAGAGAGAGAGAGAGAGAGTGAGTGAGTGAGTGAGTGAGTGAGCAGCTGCTCTGCTGCAAGGAAAAATAATAGAGAAAAAGGAGTTTACTGATATGACATGAGGGGGTGGGTATCACACAACTAAGGTGGTGTAAAATATCACATAATTGGTTAAATTGTATTGATTTGTATTAATTTGTATCATTTTAATTACTAATTGTAATTTAAATTTTAAAATTTATAATTTACATTCTAAATTGTTTTACTCCGATATAGTTAATATATATATATATATATAGTTTAACTTCTAATGAAATATCAGAATAAAAATAAATATGAGAGAGATTTAAGATATGAAATTTATTACAAATTAATAATTATATATATAAAGCATATTATATAAAATCACTTTGTATTATATGTAAGATATTATATAAATTAGTGTTATATATTATACAAATGTACAATACTTAGTTAAAATATTCTTTAATCTGCTAATCCGCAAAAAAATCACCTAAATCGTAATTTGTCAATTCGCTAATTTGTCAATCTGTCATTCAATTTATAATTTTACTCTTAAACTATTCGAATACGGTGATATTACATACACTAATTAATGTACACATTAATGTACCAATTAATATTATGTCATTATTACAAATTATAAATATTAAAAACATCTAAAATTATGTCACATCATTTATTAATATAATATTATTCATCTCAACGATATCACGTACACAAATTGAGATCTTGTTTTGATCTCTCTCCTTACCTCCTTATTTATAAGGGTAGATATGTACCTTAAGGTGTTCGATAGTTCATATCTGATTATTTCAATTTGTTTTAATTTAATTTTTTAAAAATAATCAGATATCGATCGTTAAATTATTTTTCACCATTACACCGTTACAAGCAAGCAAGAAGGCACGGAGAGATACCAGTAGAGGATCTGAACTCCCGCGCACAACCCTCCCTCAACACAACATCACTGGTTTGACTTTGATTGCCAGACAGAGATAGAGAGAGAGAGAGAGATCAGAACCAGAATCAGTATGATATGAGGGTGTTGGTGACCGGTGCTTCCGGTTACTTGGGCGGAAGGCTCTGCCACGCCCTCGTCAGGCAAGGCTATTCCGTACGGGCCTTCGTCAGGTCAAGCAGCGATCTGAGCTGCCTACCTCCGGCCGGCGAGTACGAGGGAGCTTTGGAGCTCGCTTACGGGGATGTGACTGACTTCCGGTCCCTCCTGGCAGCCTGCTCCGGCTGCCACGTCATCATCCACTCCGCCGCCATCGTCGAGCCCTGGCTTCCTGACCCTTCTAGATTCTCCACGGCAATCCTCCGATTCCCTTATCCTCCATTATTATTAAATTTGAATTTCATCCAATGAATTTAGTGCTCTCATTTATTATTATGTCTATTATTCTATTCTATTCTATTATTAGGTTAATGTTGGAGGTTTGAAGAATGTATTGCAAGCATACAAGGAGAGTGAGACGACCATACAGAAGATAATATACACATCCTCGTTTTTTGCCGTGGGATCAACCGACGGTTATGTTGCAGACGAGACTCAGGTGCTGCTGCTGCTACTACTACTAGTGGTTAATTTCAACTTCACAATTTTTGACTTTGTTATGCTATTTAGTGAAATGATTAATAATTTCATAAATTAGTGGAGGATTAGTTATCCAATTATTCATTTTATTATTTATTTATTTCATACATGAAAGGGATAATTACATTTTACCCCTTTCACGTGTTTTCACATTACCTCTTGATGTTTATAAATGTATTCATAAATCCATGTGGTTTTGACTGTTGTGCAAAAGTGACATTTTTCGCTAGACTTAACTGCGCGTGGGCCAAATATGTCAAAGAAGCGTGTTTGCACTAAGGCCTCATTTGGGAAGCAACTGGTTTAGCCAAAAGGGCAAAAAGTTACTGAAAAAATCAAAAAGTCAACAACTCATACTAAAAAGTTAAAGATTCTATTTTTTCTTTATTTTTTGTACATCTTTTCGTAAAAAGTCAAAAACTCATTCCAAACATACTAGCTTTTTTTTTTTATCATATTTTAGCCAAAAAATTACTAAAAAAGCCCGTTTCCAAACGAGGCCTAAGATTAAGTGATTCGCGCCAAAATTGGGACTTGAATTGACTGATTTGCCCTTCCAATCTCTTAGTGTATAACCCGTCTCTCTCTCTCTCTCTCCCCTTTTCCCTACCCCTACCCCTACCCCTACCCAAGTTTTTGTATCTACTCTCTCTCTTTCTCTATTTCTCTCTATCTCTCTCTCTCTCTCTCTCTCACCTCTTCCCTTGCTTCAACCCAGCTATGGCGGCGAACCGGTCGCCCCACCACCAACCGAAGCTGATCTTCACGGCCTCCGAGGCTCTTGACGAAACCCGATTGGTTCATCTCTCCTACTCCCTCCGATCAGTGTGTGATTGCGGCAGACCCATCGGGTGTAGATGAAGAGGAGTGTGATGAGGAGGATGAAGGCGACGAGGACCACGATGGAGAAGAGGGTACGGCCTCGCATTTATAAGTCTCTATCGTCCAATTCAAGGTAGCGCTAGTGAACTGGTCGGTGGTGTTGCTGTTTGAGCCACTCACCTTGGTGGTAGACAAACAGCTACCCATCTTCTAGTTTTTGTCAAATATGAAAAATTCAGAACTATGGAGAGATCAAACCCACCCAATAATCAAATAGATGACACTAATCATATATACAAAGAGGTATATCTCTGTGTGTATATATATATTGAGAGAGAGAGAGAGAGAGAGAGAGAAATAGATATTGTGTGTATATATGTCTCGTGTGTTGGGCACATGTTCAACTTTCTCTTTGATAATGGATTTGGTATTTGATTCTTTGTTCAAATTAATAGAATCTTTTCTTTTCTTTTCTTTCTTCTTCTTCTTCTTCTTCATTTTTTTTTTTTTTTTTTTTTTAAGAAAATGAAAAAAATATATGATGTTGATATTGGCGATGAATCGGTTGGGAGGAGTGTGCCTTTTGTGCTTCTTGAGAGAGTGAAAGACAACTTTAAGCAGTGTTATGGTGCTAGTCTAAGAACTGATGGTCTAGATTCCATTGGGGATGAAGATGATGAAGAAGATGATTTATTCCTAGATCGATTTAGTATTGCATACAATCTTGACAGAGAATTTGGGTGTGTACATCATTTCTTTTAATTTATTTTTTGGGCTTTTTTATTTGTTTGTTTGGGTTGGGGGTTAAGGGTATAGAACCTGCTTAATTTTGATAGGAATTGAGTTTGATCGGATGTAATGGGGGTTAAGGAGGAAAGTTTGGAGTAGATGGGAGGAATAAAGGAAGAAGGGGGGATGGTCAATAGAGACTACTATTAAAGAAGAAGAAGATCATGATGAAGAAGAGAGAGAGAGAGAGAGAGAGAGGGAGAGAGTTATGGTAGTAAAATGGCATTTATAAGAAAATTGAAGAAAGAGAGTTATGGTAGTAAAATGGCATTTATAAGAAAAATGAAGAAAAAATAAGGGTATTCTAGTCTTTTCAATAATTCCGTCACATCCCGTCACTTTTGCGCATCAATTAAAACCATAGGGGGTTTATGAGTACATTTATAAATGTTAGGGAGATAATGTGAAAATGCGTGAAACCACAGAGGGGTAAAATGTAATTATCCCTACATGAAATTATACACAGAAAGGTCCAAACTCAACAACTCTTGTGTTGTGTTTGGTTGGGGGATTTGGAAAGGGAAAAAGTAGTTGAAATGTGAATAAAATATAATTACATTTCATTTAATTTCACTCACTTTTTTTCTTTTCTTTTTCCTTTCCAAATTCATTAAATCCCCCAATCAAAGTATAGGAAGGATTCTAGACCCAAGCAAAGGGCAAAGTGCCCTTCAAATAGGAGGCGGCCAACCAATTGGCAACACTATTAACCACTCTAGGAACCCAATAAAACGAAAAAAAGTAGAGCACATAGCACAAATGTCATGAATAATAGCTAGGCATTACCATGGAGGGATCAGCTCTGAAACACACAACTCAGTGACAGCTTTGTTGTTGCTTTCCACTTGGACATTTGAGAGGCTCAGAGCTTGGGAGAGCACATGCAAGACGAATTACACAGGCTTCACTCTGCTGTGCTGAAGAAGCTTGGGCCAAAGTCACAATACCATCCAAAAGATTGCCCTCTCGATCTCTCAAAACAACAGCTAAGACTGCCTGAGTAGGATCAACAGAAAGGGGGCTGGTGATGCCATGGCTGCCAAGTGGAGAAGTACTCAAGCCATGATCCAGAGCTGTTCAGATTTCTCGCTAATAAGAGGTGGCAAGTTTGACTACCTGAGTAGGATCAACAGGGATGTGGTTGAAAACAAAATCATTTCTAGCTTTCCAAATGCACCAACTCACTGTAGCAACCTCGACCAACAAAGCACACTACTCTTTATTTGACACAACTCCCCAATGGACACCGTCCATTTAATACTCCTCCGTCCCGAAATATTAGTCCCTTATTCCATTTTTCATTGTCCCAAAATATTAGTCCCTTTTTAAAAATTAAAGACTAAAATAACATGAATTTCATATTTTACACTTCTTTTAAATTCATTAACATTAATATTTTTGAAGTGTAATGATTGTACTAGCAAAGGGTAGTTTTGAAAAGTTATATTTTTAAAGTGTAATAATTGTACTACCAGAGCAAAAAATTGGATTTCCCAAAAGGGATTAATATTTTGGGATGGATGGAATAGCTAAGGATATAGAGCAATTTCCCAGTTTCAGACCAAGATCACATCCAAACCAGACGCAGACTGCTCTAGTCCATCCACAATGAAAGAGAAGGTGTTCGATGGATTCTGGATTTTTCTGGCAAATAGGACAGGCTGACGAAGCTGCACACCGACAACGAGATAGATTTTCCTTAGTAGCTAACTTCTCGGAGCACACTCTCCACCAGAAGTTCTTGATCTTTGGCGGGACATTGAGCTACCGGATTTGTTTCCATACATCCTTTGGAGGTTGAAAGGAGGTGGATGCAACAGTATTCTCCCCTGGTAACTGGGCTGAACGAGCCACCTGATAACCACTCTTCACTTTGTTGTTGCCCTTTTTGGTGAAATTCCAAAAAGACTATCCTCATTGCCCTCAGAAGAAACTGGAATAGACAATGTTTTTTGAACTTCTTCCTTACAAACAAGACCATTTAGCTTGCGAAGATCCCAATCCTTAGTGTTCTGATTGATAACCTCACTAACCAATTGAACCTGATTCTGTACAGGCTTCGGGGAGTGGATTCTGAAATCACTTGAATGAGGTAGCCATCTATTGTCCCAAAACTGGATAGAGTTACCATTCTCCACCTGCCACCGTAGACCTCACTGAAGCAAATCTCTTCCAAGGAGGATGCTTGACCATGCCCAAGATGGACTATGACCCCGTCTTGCTGATAAAAAATTAGAATGGGATAGTAGATTCCTTTCAGTATTCTTGCACAAAAGGAGTTTGGAAACTTCAAAAGCCTCCATGCCTATTTGGCCAACAGTGCAGTATTGAAAGACTTGAAATCCCTAAAACCCATACCGCCATTTGACTTAGCAATAGGTAATCAATCCCAACTTGCCCAATGAATTGCTAGAATAAGAATTGAGACGATCAAGGAATTTCTTGGGGAAGGTGAAACAGGCCATAGCATAAACAGGGATGGCTTGGACAACTGCTTTCACTAATGTTTCCCTACCAGCTTGGGAAAGGAGGCTTTGTTTCCACCCTGGCATCTGGTGGATAGCTTTCTCAATGAGATACCTATATGCCTCAAGACTTAGACCGACCCCAAAAGGTGGGAAGGCCTAGATACTTGTTGCCATGATCAATAGCTGGAATTCCCAACAACTCACAAGTGGTTTTTCTTGCCGAATCCAGAGTAGTTGAGGAGAAGATAATGCTAGACTTGTTGAAATTAATGATCTGTCCAGAAGTAACACAGCAAGATTCCAAAATATCCTTCAAACATTGGCATTCCAGCAGATTTGCTTTGGCAAATAGGAGGGCATTGGCGAAGAACAAATGAGACAACTTCGGGCAATCCCGCTTGAATTTAAGTCCATTAAAGGGAGAGAACATCCATAGTGAGCACAAATAGATAAGGAGACAAGGGATCTCCTTACCTAAGACCCCTCGCTGCCGTCTTCACTCCATTAGCAAACAGTGAGAAAGAGACAGTAGACACCACTTGCATGATCCATTTGATCCACAAACTATCAAAACCCAATTTCACCAAAAGAGCTTCCAAAAAATCCCATTGAACTCTGTCATAGGCTTTATTGAAATCAAGCCATCTCATGCATTGCCCCCTTCTTCTTGAGTTTCAAATGGTCAAAAGCCTCATGCGCCGCAATGATATGATCTTGAATTAAACTGCCTGGGACGAAGGTCGACTGGTGAGGAGAAATGAGCTTTTAAAGCACCGACTTAAGCCTATTAGCCAGAATTTTTGAGATGATCATGATATTAAAATTGCACAGGCTTATAGGGCGATATTGAGAAAGTTTCTCCGGATGTGGAACTTTCGGAATTAGCACTATGTTGGTCTGATTCCATTCCTGCAGAAAACCATTCCTAAAAAACCTTTTGATTGCCACGCAGACCTCTGTCCCTATAACCTCCCAATACTTGTTATAAAAAATCCCCGAGAAGCTGTTAGGACCAGGCACTTTGAGGGAACCTAGTTGGAAGGCCGCATCCTTAATTTGTTGGTCTGTGACTGGCCTAATCAGAGATGCATTCATATCAGAAGATATACTTGATGCTCCACTGCTGAAAGAGCTGCCTCCATGTCCCTCTGCTGGTCACAGATGAAAAGGGTTGAAAAATAATCCAAAAGATGGGATTGATATCCTCATCCGAAGTTAACCACCTACCCTCTTCATCCAGCAATTTAATCAAACAATTGTATTGCCTTCTCTGCGTAACCGAGGCATGAAAGAAGGCAGAATTGTGGTCTCCACACTGCAACCATTTAACCCTAGACCTCTGATGCAAGTACATTTCCTCCCTTTTGAGTGTTTCAGTAATCTCTTATTGAATAGCCTGTTGGGCTTGCTAATTATCCGTAGAGTGGGGACAGGCTTGTAATCTAGCAAGTTTAGCCTTCAAATCATTGAATCTATGAGTGTTATTCCCAAACTCTCGCATACTCCAACTTTTCAAGCCTACTTCACACGATTTGAGTCTTTGACACACAGAACATTGGAGAACCCAAGAAGTTCCTTGCCATTTGGAAGCTATAACTTCTTCACACATCGGGGAGATGGTACACATTGATTTAAACTTGAATAACCTAGGCACTCTTTTAGGGGGGATGACAGTATTGAGGAGAATACGACAATGATCCGATCCAATGAAAACTTCATGAAACACTTGAGCATAAGGGAACATATCTCTCCATTTGACTGTGGCAACAACTTTATCCAACCTTTCATGAATATGAACATCACCACCTTGGTTATTAGTCCATGTTTAAGCTTGCCCATTAAATTCTAAACCCATAAAAGCACACTCATTAAGGAGGTTCTAAAAATTCTCAATCCTCCTAGCATTAGGCTCAACCCCACATTTTTTCTCCCAAACAGACCCAATTTCATTAAAATCTCGTATGCAAATCCGAGGCAGATTATTCTCTCTAGCGATGGACCGAAGATAGTGCCAAAAAGCCACCCTTTGAGCCAGCCTAGAAAGGGCATAGATGGAGGTAATTAACCAATTTTGATCAGAGCCAGAGATCAAATAGCAAAAAAAGATTGCTCCCCTTATGTCTTACATCCAAACCAACTTCATGAATCCACCACAAAGCCAAGGCGCTTCCTAACTAGTTCCAATTCCGCTCGCTTATTTTTCGTCTCCGTCTTCTTGACGCCATCAAGAAGATTATTCCAAGACAATGGGTTTTACTCAACCCTCGCAAGATCTGGACTGTCTGGGGTCGCCCAATCCCCTGACAGCTCCAGCTTATTATAAACATGAACCTTGTGGCTGTTTGGGGCCAGCCACTAACGCCCTGTTCAAGTTATCCCCCTGAGAATCCAAAGGATAGGTATTGGGTACTTGGGAATAGAAATCTGTCTCCTCCACTGAAGCACTAAGATCATCACGAATGACAACATCAACTAGCTCTTGATGAGCATGCTTGCTTGACTTCTTGCCCTGTTTACTAGAGGAAGTACCCCCTCTATTTCTCCTGAAGTTACCCAATCCCCTAGCAGTAGTAGCACCATGAAAGGGGTGGATATGTAAGGGTGAGCTCATGGGCTAACTTAATAGCCTTGGATGAAGATTCAAGCTGTAGGTCCTCCTCAGGGGTCTTCCTTATCTTCCATTGAAAGCACAAGATAAGAATGCAGTGGATACATTTTTGCAAAGGCAAGCTGTTTGGATATGGAGATAGGGCTAGAAGAAGGGCTATCTTCATGAAAAGAAGATGGATAAGCTTTTTGCTTCTTTATCGTCTTTAGCGATAAGCACTAAGAATCAAGAAGTCAAGAATCTCTACTCTAATAGGCTCAAAGCTTTTTGAGAAATTGAGAAGCTTCAACTGGAGCTACTACTCATTCAAGCCCAAGAGAAGACACAAAGACGTTCAACCCTGATTCCCTCAAAAGCCCCTTTTCAATAAAAGATAGGCAGATGAACACCTTAAGCCCAGGCTTTCTAAACTTTACATATTTTTCTACATGGTATCAGAGCAGGTTTAGAACCTATTATTTTCGCTTCCCCGGCGGGCGGCAACCTCACCTTAGCCGCCCGCCGGACCTCAACCTATTCCGCTGTCATCTCTATCAATACATATAGCTTCCAGTTCGCCGCCACCAAAGGCGACTTCTCTACATACAAAGATCAACCATTCTCATCTCTCTCTGAGATGAAGAGGCCAACCTCTCTCTCTCGGCAACTCTCTCTTCGGTTTCTCTCTACACCACCTTCTCAACCTTTTAGTTCTACTACTGTGACCCTATCTATGATGTTTTTGGTGTCTCTGCAATGTGGGCTGTTCTTACTATTGTTGTTGTCTTTGACTTCTCTGTGGGTGCAACACTTGGAAGGGTTGTAAATAGGGGTTTTGCAACACTGCTTGCTGGTACTCTTGGCGTTGGAGCTCATCGAATTGCTAGTTTTTCTGGAGAAATATGTGAGCCCATACTACTTGGGCTTTTCGTCTTCATACTAGCTGCAGTAGTGACATTCATAAGATTTTTTGATCTCGAAAATAGGTATAGAAAGTGAGTTTATATATTATTTTTTATAAATTATTTATATATGTGGTAATCAAATAAATATATGAGGGTGTATACCATATCATTATCTTATGGCGAAGTTGTTTCATGGCTTGAGTGGCCAGATTGGACTACCATGGCTGTGGGTCCCACACACATCATGTTTGGTAGTGAAATGGGTGGCGGATTGATAGTCTAAGGGGCTTAGTAATCCCCCCTCAGTAGGGAGATTAGCTTGGTTAGATTTTGGGTGGGATTAGAAAAATAGTGAGGGGATTGATTCTATTTTATATAAAAATTTTATTTATTTTTTTACTAAATGCACCTGTTTGTTTTAATATTTGTTTTAGTTTTTTTAATATAAAAATTATTTATTTATTCATTTTATAGAAAAATAATTTAACAATCCAATCACTAACCATATCCCATACTATCATCATAACAAACACACTTTTACTTAATTCTCTTACTAACAATCCCCGCATTAACAATCTGTTAACTAAGCATCTTCTTACTAACAATCCCATCCAACTTAGTCCGTCAAACAAATGTGGCCTTGGGGAGAGGGAGGGAAACATCCATCTCTACTTTGATACGAAGAAAACTCCGTGAGAGCGAGAGACCTTCATTAGGAGCTTCCACTCTAATCAGTTTCCCAATATTACCGGCAATAATTTGGCCGTTTCTGCGTGTCATCTTCTCCATAGGAAGCCCATGGACTTGGCCCCAAAAAGGACAATGAGTAAAGCCCATTTCAGAAATTGCTTTCCCTATCTCAAGAGGTTGGATAACTAAGAGGTTGCCCATAATGGACCAAGGAGAATTCTTGAGAACCAGAGAACGGTCATCCTCATTATCGAGCTTGAACATGAACACATTATCCGACCAAACTGAGATCGAGACTTTGGCTCTCATTTTCCGGGCTCCAAGAATAATACGAGTGACTGCTAGCCTATTGAGTGACTTCGAAGCCAAAATCTTCCCAATCAAACACAAACGGGAATTGTCACTGCTCTCATCCGAACCTTCCTCCAGCTCAAAAGAGCATAAAACATCAAGGCCAGGCTCCACATTCGCCATGGAAAACAACTGAAACAGGGAAAAAATAAGGGAATCATTGAAAGAGAAAAGTAAAAACTAGAGAAAAGGGAGCTAAAACAGGGGAAAGGATAAGGGGAATAGAAAGGTGAAAACCAGAGAAATGGGGAGCTCAGAAGGATAAGCAGTAAGAGAAAGGGTAGGCAAGATTGGAATGACTCCAGAGAAAACCCTAAGGTAGAGAGAAACCCATCTAGAGAGAGAATTTTGCAGATACTAGTTAAGCACCATTCTCAGCCCCTCTCAATATTAAAAATTCGCCAATTTCGTTAGATTGAATGTCCACAATATATGTAATTCAATTAATAAAATTTGCAATCAAACATGGAACTGTGAGGCTATGGACCAACAATCCCAATGCTATGCTATAATCCTACTAATAAAACATTTCATTTGGGTATTATTGGTAATTGGTTGGGTCATTGGGTATTGTTTTGACATCGTTGTGTGTTTTGTTTTTGTGGCAATAGATTCATTCTGCCAAGTCATTCTGTACAGAGTATGAGAAATCAAAGGCAGTTGCAGATAAGATCGCCTTAGATGCCGCCTCAGAGGGGGTTCCTATCGTGGTTGTCTATCCCGGAGTTGTATACGGTCCCGGCAAACTCACCACTGGAAATATAGTCGCACGTTTGGTAAAAACCATTCATTTTTTACTTCAGCTCAATTGCTTGTATATATATACATGTGTTTTATTTATTTTTTATTTTTTATTTTAAACTATTTATATGATACATTCATGTCTAAATAAATATGCATGAATTTTTGGATTGTTGCTGAACTTCAGTATTGATGGTAGTTTATGGTGGCTGAAAAATGAGATTGATTGAATTGAAAGTGATGGTTGTTGATACAATTGTGCTGAACTGAGTATTGGTGGTGTATTTGTAACAGCTCTGATCAATTCTCTTATGCTTATAGTGTTTCAAATTTCTAGCTGGAAAATGTTACATAAATCTTACAAACAAATCTTAATAAAGCTTTGATATTTTAACTCAACTATCATATCTGCGAGTAAAAATAATTTGTGAAATTTGTATGTTTGTCTATAGCATTAGTCTTTCTAGTTGGTTAAGAACTTACATGTATGGAATTCATTACATAGAGATAGAGGCGGCTACTTTGGAGTAATAGAGTAATCTGTTGTGCATTATTGTTTTTCCAGTGCTAATTTCTAGCTTTTTACAAGAAGAAGTGAAAAAAGATTTTTTTGCACCTTCATGGGTATGATCATTGATTTTTTTCAGGCATTGAGCAAGTGTAGTCATGCTTGTATGAAGTGCATCTACTTGGCTCTTATGACTGTTGTTATGTACTGTTCTGTATATGATAATGAAATTGAAAACATTTTATGCTCTTTTCAGATTATTGAACGTTTTAATGGGCGGTTACCTGGTTATATAGGCTATGGAAATGATAAGTTTTCTTTTAGTCATGTTGATGATGTAGTAGAAGGGCACCTTGCAGCTTTGAACAAAGGTCGACCAGGCGAAAGATATCTTCTAACAGGTGAAAATGCATCGTTCATGCATGTTTTTGATATAGCTGCAGCCATCACTGAAACGAAGAGGCCTTGGTTTAACATTCCGTTATCTGTCATTGAGGTTTATGGATGGATATCACTTTTTTTCTCTAAAATAACAGGAAAGCTTCCCCTGATCAGCCCCCCGGTATGCTCTCAATCCTTCCTCAAGTTTATGCTGATCTTGAATTTTGTTTAGAATATTATTTGTATTTTTTTTAAAAATAATATATAAACAATCTGAGAAAGAATTATGTTAAAGGTTGTGTAATGTCTACCAACCCTCAGATTACCAGCTGGGTTCTCCTTTATTTATTTATTTTTCTGATGAGCATCAATAAGGATTTGTGTCCTCTCTGAAGTCTACACTACTTTTGCTACTGCGATTTCCACCACCCTAAATTGTGAGTGAGATTTATGATTCATTTATGCATTTTTATTTATTTATTGAACAGACAGTGTATGTTCTTGGACATCAGTGGGCTTACTCTTGTGAGAAGGCCAAGGCAGAGTTGGGGTATAACCCTAGAAGCTTGCAAGAAGGTCTAGCAGAGGTACTACCCTGGTTGAAGAGCTTGGGCTTGATAAAATACTAGATTGATGATATTTGGCTTGTGATGTGGGTGTACATACTAATATTGCTGTATATTAGCAGCCTATCATGATATGAGTGCATTTATGTTGATGGGAAGAGGTATAGCCATTGTGAAATTTGCTTCATTTGCCTTGAGCTTGCCATAAACTGTCACTCACTGTCTGATGTTTCAAATTCAAGAAAAATCATATTTTGGGATAAATGTACCTGATTTGTTATGCGCAAATTTATGTTTGGCTTGTAAAGGCGCATTTACTTGTGTCGAATCAACATAGAATGGGTGTTGACATCTTTCTCGGTCTTCTGGTTAGAACTACATAGGTTCATCAATGCTATGTTTGATTTTGGTTATGATGCAATAGAAAGCGAAAGTCAACAACAAAAAATAATAATAAAATTAAATAAATAATTTCATGGTCGATAGAAAAATGAATTCATTCAAGGGGTTTTTCATTTTTTAAAGATGAAAAATATTTTCTAAACATAAAGAGACAGATCAATGATGTCACTATTGTTGTTGCCATTACTGCCACCCTAAAGTTGTGGCCACCACCCCTACCACCTCTTGGGCAGTAGGAGTTCGGTATGGGAAAATTTGTAAGTACAGGTAAAGATGGGATTCATTCAATCTGTAATGAAATGGATGGTTTCTTTAACGGAGGAATTTGACAACCAACAGTATGTGTAGTCTTAGTTTCAGCAGCGTAACATGTTGGATGGGTCAATTTATTTGGAAGAGAATTCTATTGGTGTGTGATTTTTATGATTTTTTGTTGTGACATATTATGATATTAGTTATAATTTATTGTGATATTGATTAGGATATATTTTTTTTATTGAGATTCAAAAGTTGTTAGTTACACCTCATATGACATTGTTTGGGAAGTAGGTTTGGGGTTAAAATAGCCACAAAAAATAAAATAAGTTTTTTAGCTTCCAATAAGACAAAACATCACTTCCAATCCATAATCATTACATTTTATCTCTTACAAAAAAATAAAAAAAGTCAAGCTTTTTCCAGATCAGGCTTTTTAATCCCAGGCTAAATAGTCAAAAAAAACCAAAAAGCTAAAAAACCAATCCACTTTCCAAACCAAGCCTTAGGCTCTGTTTGGTAGAGTTATGGGAAGTGATTATAATTTATAGCTTAACAGCTTATAGCTTATAGCTGTGAACATAAGCTGATTTTTGACTTATAAATTAAGCTTCTCCTCCCCCACTCAAAGAATAAGTTAATTTTTGACTTATAAAAAGCTATAAGTTGTATTGTTAAGTTAAACCAAACACATCAAAATAGCTTAAATTAAGCTAAAAGCTGAAATAAGGTGGAAATAAGTCCTACCAAACAGGGCCTTACTGTTATTTTTTTAACTTTTTCAGCAACTTTTTGACTATTTTAGAGAATGCCAAACATGCACTTAATTATGACTCAATTTTTCTTTTTAATTATGCTTGAAGAGAATCTAATTATGTCCATCACAAATGCCATGGCTTGCCAATGCTTCACCCATAGCAATACTCTGGCTCAATTTGGGATGATAGTTATAAGTGGCATTTTGGCTTTTTGCCAAAACGTAAAAAGTGACTTTTTTTTGTCATAAATTAATTTGGGATGTTGGTTATAAGCTAAAAAAAAAATTACGAAATTACCCTCCATAGATGGAAAATGAAAGGGTAAAAATGTGTAATATTTCAATTGACTAGGGATACTTTGGTCATTTCATTATGATTTGACATTATAAACAAATATTAATAAAAAAAGTCAAAAGTCACTTTTTACCAACTTCCCAAATCATTTATCTAAAAAAACTAAAAGCTTAGTTAAAAGCCATAAAATTACTTTTTACCATCTATTTGGATACATCCAGAACTGAATATTTGCTCAACCAAGGTCATTTTGATCTTTGTCAGAGAGTTTAGAAGGAGGGTAATGCTTCGATCCTTGGGAGTCATCTTGATCTTTGACTCCAGTTTTAGCAACATCTAAAATTTTACTACCCTATTTGTTTTTACATCAAGGAATTCGCATATAGAATTTTTATTTGACATCTCAGTGAGAATAATAGAAAAAATAACATTCACCAAGTTTGTTTCTAATTTTTTAAAAATACTTTTCAGAAAATTCTAATTTCTTATTTTCTATATATATATTTTTTATTTTTACTGATTTTTTAAAAAAATTTTAAGCATTTTTTTTAATTTTTAGACACACCTAACGTAAATACACTTAAAAAGTATAATTTTCGTGAAAAAAAAAATCTTTAAAAATTTACTAAATATCAAAAATATATAAAAAAAATACAAAAATCATTATATTTTTCATATTTTTGTGTATTTATTAATTTTTTAAAAAAAAATTTCATAAGTTTTTTACTTTTTATATACATCCAAATAAGGTGCATCTAAAAAAGTAAAAAAAAAAACACTTAAAATTTTAAAAATATTCACTAAAAATAAAAAAATACGAAAGGTACAAAATTCAATTTCCAAAAAACTAAATTTATAAAACTGAAACCAAAATTATTAAAATATAACAATTTATCTAGGGGCACCTAGTCAAAACCGTTTAAACTTGTCTGTATTTATAAATGGATTTAAATAGGTTTGTCCTTACGAACCTAGTTAAAATTAAATTTAATTAAGTTCAACATGGTGTTGGACAATCTTCACTGTATTTAAGCAGATTAAATTCTATTATGTACTAAACAACAACTAGAATATAAAGAAATAAAGGAAATGAGAGAATTTGTTTGATTACAAAAATCAAACTAGAAATAAAAATAAAAATATATAAAAACAGATTTTATTTTGTTACAAAAATAAAATTAAAATCTGATTAGAATAATAAATTAAACAACTTACTTGATTAATTTATTTGAAGAATTATCTGATCAAGTCCAGTGTTTGACACTGTGTCCTTAAGACAAATTCGTTCTCTCCTCGGTGCTTTCAGAATTTGGACGTCTATCTTCCAGGATAAAATGATCTACTACAAACAATAGCAGCACTACAAATTGTTTGCCTAACGAACACACTAAGTGTTTATACTCTCTCACATAAGAAAATAATGCAGCAATATGAAAAGAATATTTACAGAATTATGAAGGACGAAATTAGAGTTACAAAATCCAAATGAGGTTTGTCCTATTTATAGATGGATTTGTAGCTGCAGATTTTGAATTAAACATGTGCAAACCTATTTGAACAGGTATGAAACCTGTATGGTTTTGAATTTAAACAGATTTGAATCTGTTGGGCTCACAATTCAAACAGATAACAAAAACGGAAAGGGCCCTGTTTGGGTGTACAGTAAAACCGGACCAGTTTATTTCCGGTTTAATTTGAGTTCTGGATTTTATTTTACCAAAAATAAAATTAAATTCAAATATTTTTGGCCCAAAAAGATTAGTATTGGGCCGAACAAGCCCAACCCAACTACGCACCTGCGCCCAAGCCCAGGCCCAGCCCGCCTGACCAGACGGACGGTGGCGGCGGCGTGCGCACGTGTGTGATTTTTGAGTCAAATAGGTCTAGCCCATTTTGCCCATAACCTCCCTCTCTAAAACACTTGGGTACCCCTTGGGGCACACCCCAAGTACCAAACCCATGCCTTCTAAACCCATTCAAAACTTCCCACCAAATCAATGTGGGACAAACCTTATTCAAACCTTTAAGGATTTTCCACCAAAACTCTATTTCCATAGAGCACACTTAGGCTTTAATTTCCATTCACTCGGTAATGGTTTTGAGCAACCAAATATACCACGTGAATCACAATGCGGCATAGAACGCGTTACCACTTTGGCCCGTGTAAATCGACGCACGGGGCCCACCTAAAAAATAGACCAAACTTAGGAAAAAATTCTGGTTTTACCCAAAATTTTATAACCATTTCCAACAATCCCCCACATGAATGGAATTTGATGACAACGGAAATGCAACAATATGTAGACTTTATCGAAAGAGTATAAATCGAAAATATCTTGCATCAGGATAGGTAGCTTTCGGCCTTGAACCTTCCATAGTGATAACCTATCGGACTTACAGGCTAACCAATGGACGCGATGCCTTGAATTGTTCAGCCGTTTGTGTAAGCCAAGACAATAGATTTCACACAAAATATCTTCTAACACATCGTGGTTCTCACTGTTGTGTTCATTTTGGCCTTGAACGCTCTTTGTTTTCATGAATGTTTCTAGAGAATTTAGCCTTTTCATTCTCATAGAACCGGCCCCAGTTCGACACTCATATAGGTGATTCTTATTGTGAGTATCTCCTTATACTCGTCTTGATTTTGTACCTTAATCAAGATATAAGTAATCATTAAAAGCAAAGCTTATCCTTATTCCCCTGCAGACAACACATGTTGCAGATATCACTCTCACCATAGGAATGGGTAGGGAATTTTAATCCCTTGGTGATTCTGGTGAGCCATACATAACTTAGTTGTCCCTTTGAACTTAGTTCTTAGGATCTCCAGTCATATAAGTAGGGTTACCATTATGACGACTCTTATGTAATAGGCTTTAATCCCATCCCCTTCGATGAACTATACACTACCTCTTTTGTCAAACCTTTTGTTAATGGATCCGCAATATTTTCTTTAGGTTTTATATAATCTATTGAGATTATTCCATTTGACAACAATTGCTTTACGGTATTATGTCGACAACGAATATGTCGTGACTTACCGTTATACATATGATTCTGTGCCCTGCCTATTGCAAATTGACTATCACAATGAATGCAAATAGCTGGTACAGGTTTTGGCCACATTGGAATGTCTTCTAAGAAGTGACGAAGCCATTCGGCTTCTTCTCCTACTTTGTCTAAAGCAATGAACTCGGATTCCATTGTGGATCTTACGACGCAAGTTTATTTTGTAGATTTTCAAGAAACAGCAGCGCCTCCTAGAGTAAAGACATATCCACTAGTGGATTTTGAATCTTTAGTATTCGATATCCAATTGGCATCACAATAACCTTCAAGTACTGCTGGATATCGAGTGAAGTTCAAACCATGATCACGGGTAAATCTTAGATATCTAAGAACCCGAATGATCGCTTTCCAATGGTCTTCTCCGGGGTTACTAGTGTACCTACTCAATTTACTGATAGCATAAGCTATATCAGGACGAGTACAATTCATTAGGTACATTAGGCTTCCAATAATTTGGGAGTATTTTAATTGAGACACTACATCACCTTTATTTTTTGATAAATAAAG